ATTATAGTGTTTTTCATGTCATCATGATCTGCTGTACATTTGTGAGTAGCTAGCAGGCGGTTTCGTTAGGGTGTATCGATGGGCTTTCGTGGCGCCAGAACGAGGAGCAAAGCTGCGAGAAGAATGAATGTTTCTGTATCGCGTTGGCATTGAGTCGTGTTGTAAAAAGGCATTCAAAAGCAGATTAGCAAACATATAATGATAAACTACCTCTATGGCCTTATTTCACAGGAACTAAAAAAAAAGTTACAAAGGAACGGTGTTTGAGTGTGTTTTACTTCAAATAAAAGCCCAAGAATTAATTGAGGAAGTGATCTCAAGAGGCAAGAGGGCCGAAATAATAACTAGTTATTTATGCAGACACTGAAGCGTTAAATCTTCAACACCTAAGGTCAAAAATTCAAATTCATTATTGTTTCGTCTGGTGCGACAAGACAAGTACTTCCTTTTCAGTTTGATAATTTTCTTGAATAAATAGTCTGCATCGGGCAAGTGTTTGTACCGCAAAAGATTGTCTCGGTTTCAGAAAAAGCATTTCTAATCCCCCTGAATGTGGTCTAGTCCTTCCTTTCTCTCTTTTACCTATCCTTCCTTAGTCCTTCCGTTCCTTCCTTTGGGCTAGTCCTTCGCAGGAGTATTATGAATAGTAATGAATTCACCGATGCAATAATCCAGTCACGTTAAAACAAATCGAGTAAATTACGTCAAAGAAACCTCAACAGTTTACTACTCTGGAAACTCTGAAATAGCATAACAAGGCATCCATCAGCAAGCCACATGATCAAAATCTGTTTGTTCCTTCATTGTAACATTTGAGTCTTTTTTTAATACAAGCTACAAATTAAGTCATCGGGAGACAATACTTCAGTGTAATGTTTCTGAAATGTTTGAATAATCTAGCTCGAAAAACAGACCTGTACGCTGCATATATTAATCTGACATTAGACACGTAAACACTACGATCAAAGTCATTTTCACACAACAGGACTTTCATCGCATTTCAGTTCCTTACCCGAGCTCACATTATCATCAGACGTTAGTTGCTGAAGGGATAATCCAGATTTTTCTCTGGCATGGAGCCTTTCCACTGGGCGTTTGTATTCCTCGTGGGATTTTCAGTTTTGGTCTTGCAAACTGATTCACAAGGTGAGTAACTCCGCAAAACAAGAATATTGTTTTCAAATGAAGGAAGGAAAGCATTGAAAACTTAAGCTATCTTGTTGAATCGTTATGCCTAAACCAGGCAATATAAATATTCGTCCACGCGGAGAGTTTAGAGAATATTTCCATTTTAAAATTTCAAAGCAAATATTTTTAGTTATTTTACATAACGGAGGTTGATTGAAAATTAACGTCAAATTTCGTATCTACCAGTAAATTTATCAAGAAATCTGCCATCTAAAATGGAATTCAGGAACTTGTAATAGTTTTTGCTAGCTGTAATCCCATCCTTTCGGTCAGTTTTGAGAATTTTTCACATCATGAGCGCCACCTCCCTACTTGTTATCGGTTATTCGAAGAAAAAATACAAATTTCTTTCGTTAACTGAACGAAAATTTAGATCACAGCATAAATTATGCTTAGCTTTTTAAGAGGCCGAAAATGTTAGTTCAAAATCTCTCTGCTGACAAATATTTAAAAATTCAATTATTGGCAGAGCAAAGGCAGCCTTCATCAAAGCTTAACTGGAGAAATATAACAAGTTCGAAGTCTCTAGCTTCATTTTGGTTGCCTGTTCAGTATGCGACAAGATAATTGTTGCGTTGACGTTTCCTGCTAGATACATTACTTATTATTAAACGACTTGTTCAATTTTTCTGACTGCTAATAACTATTAAGTTTACGTAAATGCACGCGCAACTAATACTATTGTGCCATTTGGAGTATAGTACGTGACAAACGGTTTGGGAGTCACGAAATTAAAAAGAGAAGACAGAGCCCCACATTCCTAAGAGGCTAAGAACTAAGAAAAGTAGTCAAAAGTTAACATAGTAATAAAGATGGCAAAACATTATATAACCACAAAGGACGAAGCAGGAAACGAGAATAAAGGGTACGGTATTTTCTTTTTCTCTTGTATTCTTTAATATAATGATCCTCTACGCATTAATGCACTTAAAGCATTTTTCCATACTTTACTTGTGTTAAGAATGTACAGCACCTCTTGGCATGGAAACCCGTCTCATCAAAGATGCTCAAATAACCGCCTCTTCCCAGTGGGATTCAAATCACGCTGCCATCCAGGCAAGGTTGAACTTTAAGGCAGGCGGAGGCAAACAAGGGGGATGGTCATCGTACTCTAATGACGCCAATCAATGGATTCAGGTGGCCCTTGGTGGTTACACCAACTTAACAGGTATAGCTACACAGGGAAGAAATGGACACAGACAGTGGGTAACCAAATACCAGCTTCAATATAGTGACGATGGAGTGAACTTTCACCATTACAAAGCACTATGCGAGAAATTGCCTAAGGTAACACCACATCTATCTTACCATTTCCTATCATTACACTTATTTATGGAATCTCTGTAGTCTTTAAAGCATGTAAAAGCTTTCACCGCTAACTAATTAAGTTGTTTTTTCATTAATAAAAAGGTTGAATTGAGATTTGCTGATGCTAATGTTTAGGTGTTTAATGGAAATAAGGACGCTGACAGCATAGTTTACCACAAGTTAAACCCGCCAATCCAAGCTCACTACATCCGACTCAGGCCAACAGCGTGGTCCGGTCATATTTCACTGAGGATGGAACTGTATGGTTGTTTAGGTATGATTATAATCTGATTACTTCCAAATTTTTAAGGTTAGTTAAACAGATTACATCTGATTATTATTTGCTAGTAATAAAAGCTGGTCTTATGTTTGTTCAGAATGCTTTTTTGATCACCTTATTATTGGCTTAGCTATCATTAATATTAAAAGGCAGGTGGAGATCACAAATTTAAGAGCTCCATACTCTCAGAGAGGGCTTTTAAATCAAGAAATATTATTACTATACTGAGTGCATAAGATTTGAAACACCTATCTTGGAGTGGACTTCTTTTAGTTACCATTCATGGCATATTTAACTTGTGTTTTTTTTGAACAGAGGTGCCATGTACAGCATCTCTAGGCATGGAAACCCGTCTCATCAAAGATGCTCAAATCACCGCCTCTTCAGAGTGGGATTCAAATCACGCTGCAATCCAGGCAAGGTTGAACTTTAAGGCAGGTGGAGGCAAAGCAGGGGGATGGTCATCGCGCTCTAATAACGCCAATCAATGGATTCAGGTGGCCCTTGGTAGTTACACCAAATTGACAGGTATAGCTACACAAGGAAGAAATAGATACACACAGTGGGTAACCAAATACCAGCTTCAATATAGTGACGACGGAGTGAACTTTCACTATTACAAAGAACCAGGCCAGAGGTCGCCAAAGGTAAAACCATACCCATCTAAACATTTCCAATCTTTGCAAGCATTTATAGCATCGCTGCAGTCTTCAAAGCATCTAATCCGTTTTAACGCTGATTATTTACGTTGTTTTTTCATTGATGAGAATGTTGACTGGAGACTTGTTGATACTTATGTTTAGGTGTTTAATGGAAATAAGGACGCTGACAGCATAGTTTACCACAAGTTCAACCCGCCAATCCAAGCTCACTACATCCGACTCAGGCCAACAGCGTGGTCCGGTCATATTTCACTGAGGATGGAACTTTATGGCTGTTTAGGTATAATTATAGATAATGTGATTACTTGCAACTTTGTTAACTTTGTTTTCAACCTAAAAACATAACATCTTAGTGAAATAACATCTTTTTTAATTTTGTAAAGTATATATGATCAATGGAAGTGAATATATGAAATATCACATATTTGAACTGCGGAGAAAGATATGAAGACACGATTGAGCATCGCAGTTATACTCACAACTTAAGCACGTTGTGAAAGTTAAAGCTTGAAAAGAATTGTATCTTTCCCCACAGTTGAAATATATGACACATCATATATTCACTTCCATTCTTTATCATCTACGGTTGTATTACGAACTCACAAAGTGACCAGCTCCTAGTTGGCTTGATAGCTCAGTTGGTAGAGCACTGGACCGCTATCGCAGAGGTCATGGGTTCGAGTACCGTTCAAGCCTGAATTTTTCTCAGACTTAAATTTCACAACTGCTTAAGTTGTGTGTATAACTGCGATGATCAATCATGTCTTCGTGTGTCTGTTATTTTTAAAATTAGGTCTTGGTATGAAGTCTTTGTTTTGGTTTCGGTTATGCTGACAACCAAAAATGATTTTTTTTGATGCAAAGCTGAGAGACCCATACTAGGTTATCACGGGGAAATGAATGACTTCTATCAAGAGAAAATGACTCTTGCCTCTATGTATCATCTTTTGCAGCTCATCAGTTAGTAATTGGTATATGCTATAATTTTTATACCTTAAAAGCTGGTCTTATTTTTGTGCAAAAGGGAGGTTGAGTTGGGATCATTATCACAGAGAAATTTGAGTCCATTTTTGGAAGTGATGTTTAAATGAAAATGTTTAGCTGTATGGCAAAATTTGCGGAAGCACAAGACATGTTTTACAGTTGTTACTTGGTATACATCACAAGCCTTAGAGCATAGGTTGACGACATTCAGAGTAAAATACGTTTCACATTAAGGTGGCTCCCTATAGTTTTACGATGGCACGCGCGCTGAGAACGAAGCTCAAGTAATCTGCGCGCGCTCGAAGGAAAACGTCAGCGTTTTTCGATATTTTATGACGTCAACATGACCAAAATAAGCAAAGCTGACATGCAGTGAATTTTCTCCCGTTTCCTTCGGTGAAATTCCGTAAAATTTGGCAGGCTGGTGTAAATATTTTACTTCAGTCGGAGCTCGTTTTTCAGGGAAATCTATAAGCCCATTTTTTTCGCAGCGGCAAAAGACATATTTTTCAAAAAATAAAAAAAACTGCCTTTACAAACCCCACTTTTTTCGTGTTTAAAATTCGTATCCCGCTGTATGCCAGGTGCTGTGAAAATTTTGGAAGATTTTACCGAGAGAAATTCAAGAAAATCATTAATAAAACCATAAAAAAGTAAGAAACGCATTTCTTAGGGCATTTATAATTCAAGACTAAAACACAAAATTTTAACAGCGAGATAGCAACACTATTTAATCATTGCTTATTACATATAATAAGTTTGAGAGGAATGGGTGTAAAAACGAATGCAAAAAAAGCATTCAAAACAGAACATTTTGGGCGCAACGTCATAAATGATTACCCTATGGAGCCACCTTAAGTGGCTTGTAATCTTGAGGGCCTTTAAATATAAGTTGATGGTCTGGGAGTGGTTTATCGCGATGAGAAGGATTTTTGTATCTGATTTTTGGAGAGTGCTAAATTTGTCGAGGGCTTATTTTTCTATTTCCTGATCATATTTTTATGTTCGTTCACTGTCGATCTGGCTGTAGGCAACGCAACCGATCTAGTCTCCCAAGGTAGTCGGAGAAGACGTGAAGTTGGCGATCACGTGACTAATGTGTACTCCTTGGCTGAGGGCGCATTCCACCTGGCGCGAGGGAAACGAGAGGAAAAGCGCGGAAAGGACCTCGATAAAAGTGGTACGTAGGCATTCGAGTTTAAAATAGACAAATGATGATTTGTATTTTTGTTTTTGACGTAGTAAGTAAAGAACGATTTTGAGAAATTATCATGTGTTGTCATCTTACTTCTTGTTATTTATGTTCTCAATCCTTCTAGGTTCCAGCTCCGTCTTCCTCATAGCTTTGCTTGTGATGTGCCTTGCTTGCTTGGCCGGAACGGCACTGGTGATATTCAAAAAGTCACGTGACAAGTCTGCTGGGTTTGCTATGCTTGTCAGCGGTGATCAGGAATGAAAGCATTCTTAAATACTTAACCGGACAGACTTAAGCGTTACTCGAGCATGAGATATGTACAGAATTACTGAAAGTTTCCTCGCTAATCTTTTTATTGTGTACATTAGTTAGTCAGCCCTGTAGACAAAACACTAGTTATTACTACTCTTCTGAAAGGTTCTTCTCAAACTCATTAATGATTCATTAAGTTAAAACAAAAGAAATCACCACTGTGAAGGAGGTTTGGATACCCGGTCTTAACTGGCATAGATTTTGACGATTTTACCCCTCCGTTAACTCCTTAGTTTTTGTTTCGATTGAGAAGATATATCGAACACTCGAGACAGTGTTTATCGTCTATCCAAACACCTCGAATTTCGAACTTCAACTCCCTTCTCTGTAGAAGCCTGGGAGGTTTTTAAATTGCAAGAACTTGACGTCGTAGTTGTATCGTGAAAAGAAAAAAAAACTCTCTTCTCTGTGTTTGGATATCCCGATGAAAAACTGTCTCTCGTGTTTGATATATATTTCTTGAAGTATACTGAGATGATGTAAAAGAAGCATTCTTTTGACCTATTAATTTGCTTTATATTCTAACATTTTGTGAGAAGACT